GATAGCTACATTATTATAAACGCTGAAATAACAATAATTTCCTGTTTTGATATATCTTCAACCATGTTCAGGAAGTTAGAGACAAAATAAGGTCTCTGAATTTGTTCCAGTAGGAATACATTAGAAGTTCAATTTTTAAAATTCAAATAAATTTTTGTTTAAGTGGACATTTTCTCCTAATATAAAAAATTTGCAAGCACTCTTCATGAGTTTCTTATTTATAGTGATTAATCTTATGAGTTTTATGTATTAATCCAGGGGTGGGGAACCTGTGGCCTCAAGGCCACATGTGGCCCACAAACTTCACAGAACAAATCTCCTTAATAAAAGGATTTGTTCTGTAAAACTTTGACTCGGTCAAAAGGCCATCTCTAAGGACCTAGAAGCTACGTGTGGCCTCAAGGCCACATACCCCTAATTACTAGTCTTATGTAATGTCCAAATGTTTGTAAATATGTCTATTTCCATAGTGGAAATATACATGTGTTTAGCTATCACATATTTATTCATGAGTAGCTACCACTGGTTTTATATATATATGTGTGTGTGTGTGTGTGTGTGTGTGTGTGTGTGTGTGTGTATACACACATATGTGTATATCTATATCTATCTTTCACTTATCCTCATTTAATTCAAGGGGACAACAGAAACACTGACAAAATTACAGGACAGTATCACACTTCCTTCTCACCTAGAAAACAAAAATCTCAGGAGTTTTTGCTGTTCACCAAAATATAAGCTAAATCACATTTTAAAATCATGATCAAAAACATTTACACACTGGTGTAATAGTACTAGAACACATTACACACTGTCCCTGAAATCTAGCAGCTTATGCCATAAAAAACATATGGACTTGGGATTTCATCAATGTGTGTACTCTCTTCCATGGTACAGATTGCAACTCCTTCTTCACTCCTTCTCATTCTGTGTGATTCTCATTCATGCTCTCCTATTAATCATCCACCCAATGCCATGGGGACACTCCTCTAGATCGCTTGACATGATAGGGACACCAGTGGAGCACACAGTCTGTTCATCAATTATCCTCTGCTCCAACTACGTGATTGGCCCACCTCTTTTTCCAGTAGTAAAAGTTCCCGACAGCACCCTTTACGCTGCCACTCCAGTGCTTTCTTCGCTGATAGTTTAAGGCTTATTCATACTCACCGTATCTCTTTCCATTGCTCTTTGGGTAAGACAAAACTTTAGTGCTTTGGAGTTTGTGGCATTCTATGACTCACAGACATAAAGCATCACAAGAAGAATATTAATGTTAAAAAAATGGAGACTTTGTTTCAGGGAGAAACCTTGAGGCTGAGGGAGGGGAATGTCATGAAAAGAATTGCACAATTTCCCAAAGGCAATCCAGCTCTCTCCAGACCCAACTCATTATCTATCCACAGTGTCTGTCCCACAAACACACATATGTGTGTGTCTGTATCTATGTCTGTCTTTCTATAGTATACAGAAATAGGTATAGACATAGACACATATATACTACAGAGCCCACAGACACACATGTAGGCATACATATACATACATACATAGCTCTGCAATGTTCCGCAGCTTGCTGCAAACAACACAATACCATCTACAAAGAGGAGCATCTGGAAGACCTTGCCATCTATGAGGAATCTTTCTTCCATGTGGGTTCTGCATTTGATGTAATCTTTAACAGCGGCAAATACCTTTTGCAAGCATATACACCTGCTTTATATCTTTAAGATGACATTTTGCTTTATCAAATCAACTGTTTCTTTAGTAATCAACAATAAATGTAGTAGGTTCTTATATTCTTTATTCTTTTCAGCCAGTTAGGGGATTGTAAAGATGTAGACTGCTGTAGAATATTGCTTGCAAAAGTGATTGTTCCTTTCTCGTATTTTTATCAGGAATGCTCCTGGCAAGTATGCAGATATTTCCCATAAATATTTTGTAGAGATGGTAAAGCAGGTCAGTAGTTTTTACAGTTTTTTGACTACCCTTTTGGGGGCACTAATGAAATTTGTGATTTTTTCCCCCCAATCATTTGGCACTTTACTCTCTTTTCAACATCTTCAGGATTCATTCCTCAAAACGTTCAAAGTTGTTTCATCTTTAACAAAATGTCTTTTGTGTATACTTTGGTCTAGTTTAGCTGTTCTTCTCATCTTTGTTCTTTTTACTGCTCTTTCTACTTCTTGATTCAGCATATTTGGGATTGTGATATTAGAATCTAAATGAGGTAGCTCCAATTGTCACTGATGGGAAAAAGGTTGTTACAGAAATCTTTATAACTCCTCACCATCTTTCTTCTATTTCTTCTCTCCTCTCTGTTTTGTTCCTTATTTTCTCCTTCCATTTTCATCTTAAATGCTCTTGTGTGATCTGGCTTAGGTGGATCTCACCAAATTTTCTGTAAATTATTTTTCTCCATTGCTTTTCATTGTTTTATGAAGTACTACTTGTCATAGTCTTCTTTCTCCATTAACTTCACAAATTATTTTATGTTCTAAAATCATTTGATGTTTCCCTTTTCTGTCATATCTCTGTACCTGGTGGAGAGATCAAGTGTTTGCTGAGTGAAGGGATTTCTAGGATCTTCTGTTCTCCCCATTATAGCATTTGATTTACATCAGTTAAACTTGCTTAGGAAATAGTTATAGTTTCTGTCAATGCTTGTTGTATAAACACCTTAGGAAATAGTTATAGTTTCTGTCAATGCTTGCTGTATAAACACCTTGTTTAAAAGCCAAGTGGGAGTTGTTTCAGTTGTGTGCCATATTCTCTTCCCATTTTTATATATTTTTCTAATCTTGATCTAATTTTGGTATTGATTTTGATCTTTGTTCTAACAAGGCAGTGTACTGATTGAACACAGACAGCTAGTTTGGAAATGCCTTCCATAAAATGGAATTTAACTGTCTTTTAAAATAGTATGAATTTAATTTTTGGTCTTCAACTCAGCATTGAGTTCATGGTAAGTACTCACCAAATCTCTTTCTGAAGAAAATATCCATTATATAGAAGTGTGGGGTTTGGAATTGGTTTATAATCCTCAGTCTCTCTAATTGTTTTTTTTTTTACTCCTGAACCATGTTTTCCAACAAATTTTCACTATTCTTCCTATGTCCATTTTTACATTAAAGTCCTTGCATATTAAAGTCTATGTTGATTTTATTTAATGGGTTTTATCAAGTTCTTTGTAGAATTTCTCTACCTTCTATGCAATAGATTTTGGCATATAACCTGCAATTACTTTGACATGGCCTTTTTGTAAGTGCTTATCTGGATTGATGAAATATAAGCTGAACAAATAAACCATGAAATAATATTTCTTGCTCTATTTAGATGTGTGATAAAAACCAATTTTATCTATACTTTTATTTGCTTCTTTAAGGAGAACTTGTGAGTCATCCTTCCATTTAGCCACAATTTCAATTTTTTTTTTCTAATTTTTGTTATAGTGAGAATGTAAAACTGATAGTTGGTTCTTAAAATAGCATGTTTATTCACTGGACACTGAGCAAGGATCTCACATTTAGAGTATCAAGAGTTAAGTTGTTTGTAGATAATTTGAAAACTATGCGATTCTTAATATCCTCTGTCCCCTTTCTGGTTATTTTGCTTCTATTGTTGTTTAATAAGTAGACTGGCCAATGAAGGCCTAGTTCTTAGAGCATGAAAGTATTTGCTCTTCCTGGTGGGTTAGACAGAAGACATGCAATATTCCCTGCCTTGTTTCAATCCAATATGCAGAGACTTGATAAGTTTACTTGTGGTCATGAGTGTCAGAGGGACTAGTATTGTGGTGATGAAGAGTCTTCTAATTGACTAAGAGTGTATACAAAAGGTTCAAGCAGATGATCTCTCACTTTCTTCCTTGATGGCTTTTGAGTATGAACCCTATTTCCCACCCTACCACAATAATTCAAAGTCCCTACAGTAATCCGAGTTCGTAGCAAAGACCACCGGGTGTGGCAACAGCAGTAGCTTAATTTGGTAAGGACCTGATCCTAAGGAATAATCTGCTTGACCCAGCCCAGTGGACTGTCCTGTTAGCCAAAACATGGAATCTGGTAAGGAGCTAGCCCAGCTGATGAAGAAACTCCTCATTTACCAACGATATCACCCCTAGAAGAAAACTTGATGGGGATTCCACAAAGGGGAAAAAAGGGACTCCCAGGGCCAGAAATCATGAGATGCATTTGTTCGTAAGATGTGTGCCTGATTACCTCTCTCTATACTTTAACGTTAGCCCACTCTTCCCTGGGCCTGAGTGTGGGCAGAAAGTAGAGTGAATCTCCAATCTGGGAGGTATTTTATAACTTCTATCCTTACTTTACCTTCAGATGGGTAGAACCACACTGGACAGGGACTTGTGAGAGAGTATAACAAAGCACAAACCCTCAGAATTACCCTTAGAATTAGTGTAGGAGTAGTTAGCTGCCATTTGGGGACCCATCCTGCTAATGAATTGGGAGAATGAGCTAGAAGAGGTGTTACAACTGCAAAAGTGAAACAAAAGCCACACAAAAAAAGGTTATTTTATATTTTTCTTTGTTTCGTGGTTTACCATGGCCAAAGGCCCTGTGACTAGCCCACTGCTGATGAGTTTCTGTATTAAGTTAGGTCAGTCTTCAGCAAGTAGTTAGAGTCTATTTCTGGGACTATGCTTGAAGCCTTTCCAGCATGTAGAACTTTCAAGTTTGGACTCTACTCTCAGGGTGAGGCAATAGAGTAGGACTTAATGTGTGATACAGATGTCCATTACAGGCTAAATCTCATTACATTAAACTCCAATGACAGTTCAAATTTTGTTAATTTTTATTAAAATTCTGTCATTTTGAACAACATTTAAAATGAGAAAATGAAAAGCTAGGGCTTGGAAATCTTGTTTTGTTATTCAAAGGTTTTGTTGTAATGGAGATCAATTTTTTTAAAGTTAAAAAACAATTACAATAGAAATAGAAAAAAAATTACAGTAGAATAGAAATGGCCAAGACAAATAGCAGTACCTTTTCTATCAACCCTTTCACTCCTTCATTTGTTAGAGTTTCATACGTCAAGGGACATTCCTCGATTACAAGCCTGGGTCGGCCTTGTCCTTTGGGTGTTGTCTGTGTCTGGCTGTGACAGAGAGAAGATCATGGGTCAGAGCTCTATTACTGACTTTCGCCTAACATTTGCCCATCAAAATACTTACATTTGAATGCTTACATTCCTAGGTAATATCTGTAGGCCAATCTACAGATAAAACTCTGGCAATAGTTTTTCTATAATTTTGTGTAAGATTTGATAGCCTCACATTCTTATTGAAAGCATCTTGAAAACACATTATAATAATGCTTAAACCTTTCCAGTTTCTAACACGAGCTGATTTCATATCTAAAGAAAATCAAATAACTTCTGACACAAATTTTAAAACTGATGTATAATCTTTGTATAACAAAATGAATCAAAAGCATAAATAAAATGCTACTCAGAGGAAGATTTTATGTGGAAATAATTTATTTGATATCAGAATGGAAAAATTATTTATACATGGCTGATCAGATCTGTAATTAGGACACAAACATTGCTACTGTGTCATGTTTGTTTAGCAATGCTTGAGTTACTACATAAATGTTAGGATCCAATACTCTATTGGAAGCTGAAGCATAGTTGTAGATAAGTAGGAAATCATTTAGTGAAAGGTAGTCCTCCTTCAAAGGACACCTCAAGTTAGTTTATAAAAGTCTTTACCAAAAATATTGCCAAGTTTTCTACTTCTTTTCTTCTCCCTGTTTTCTTTTTTGCCCTCTTTTCCTTCTACCTTCTTTCATATTTCTTGGCTGCCTAAGGATGTTGTTCAGGGCCACTAGGGCCATTCTGGGCTAAAGAAGTTGCTGATCCTTCCTCTAAGCAAAATCTGAAGGATTTGCCCTGGATTTGTGTTTAAAATTGTGTTTAAAAAACTGTTAAATTCAGATATTTGCCTAGGCTTGGGGTTTATTATTATAATGGAAATGAAACACTTTATTTTTATTATTTTACTATGGAGACTATTAACTCTGCATGCTAGGAAAAAATTAGCTATTGCTTTGAAAATAAATAATTTTAAAAACATGATGACTAATTTTTTTGAATCCTATAGTGGGGAAAACAAGCCAACAAAGTTCAGGAGGTTAATCTACACTTGCAAAAATTTGAAATTTCTCATTAGTTCAATGATCACATTTTACAACTTAATGCTAATTTCAGTTGCTACCATTTAAGTCAATTCAATTAAACACATTTATTAGACTCTTACAAAGAGTAAGACACTATGATGGGCATTGGAGTTACACAGATAAACATAAGCCATATTCCCAGTTTTCAGGGGAAAACATTTAGCAGGGAAGATAAGACACATGCACAAATTATTATAATATCAATTAGAGTGTGATAATCGCTAAGTAAAGTTCTGTGAGAAATTTGACAAATGAGGATCCAGCAGAGGTTGGAATCAAAGAAGGTTTTTTTGGAGAAGATGGCACCTGAGTTGACATTTGAAGGAAAGGAGGGATTTTGACAGGTGAATCTATTGATGGCTTGAGGGATAATAACCAAGGTTCAGAAATGAAAGAGAGCATGAGAGAAGAGAATAGGGAATAGTCTACTTTGATTGTAATGTAGAGGATGTGAGATACAGCAGTATTAACTAATGCTGGAAAAGTGGTTAAAATAGGAGGAGGTGTTGGATGCAGGTTAAGGAGTTTGTAATTTATTGCGTAGACAATTAGGAGCCACTGAAGGCTATTTTAATAAAGGCAGTGACCAGAGCTGTGTGTTTGGAAGATTATTCCAGTAGCAGTGAGAATAAGGTGAGAGATACTGGTGGCCAAGAGACCAGTTAGCAAGTTATTACAATTGTCTAGGTAAGAAGTGATAAAGACTAGAATTTAGGGTGCATAGCAGGGTACAGATAAAAGATATTGTTGGAAGTACAATACTACATGACAACTAGTTGCATGTAAGAGGGCAATGAGAGAAAGGGAAGAGTTAAATAGCACTTTGAGGTCTCATTTTTGAAGTTCTTGGGAGAAGGGCAGTGCCATTAAAAATGGAAATTAGGAGGAGGGTTGGGATATATGAAGGGAACCAAGAGATGATGATTACATCCTAAAGATTTGACTACTCAGCCAAGTATCTTATTACTAAAGTAACTTCATTACACAGTTTAATTCCCTATACTGACCAGTGGTGGGGACATTCATTCCTCCTCCTCGATACTCAGCAAGTCAGGAGGTAATCTGAGGAAACTCACTTCAGACAGCTTTGATCTTAGAGAAGCAGAAGAGGTCATCTACTAAGAATGAGGAGAAAGAGAATCTATTTGTGCACTTGAGGAAAGAGGAATAGTTCCTATGGATTATATGGCAGCAATTAAAAAAATGAATACAAGAATCGTCATAGAGTAATGGAGAACCTTTTGAGGTCAGATAGCACAGATCTGCGGAAGACTTACTCATAGTTTCTTCATTCCTTCTTGGAGTACTTGACTGATACAGAGTAGGAGTGGAGATGGAAGATGGTGGGTGTCAGCAGGTAGGAATAATGGACGACCAAGGGTTGGGGATGAGGTAAATTAATGATATTCAATGGTAGAACACTGAGCATCACTGAAATAGCTTTTCACTGGGTCAAGAGAAGACAGGATCTATAAAACAATCTTTGTATTGTGAAATGAATTTGTAAAAATTCATTTATTCAACTAAAAATAAGTAATGACATCCTTTTCCTGGCATAACATACCTTAATTTTAAACGAGACAGTACAACTCTATACAGATGGCTTGCTGGCAAGTGTCTTCTTCTTCCAACAGATAATATAACAGGGTGAACAGCTCCTACAATATAGCCTTTAATGTAATATTCTTCAACTTTTGGTGCTATATCCAGAATTGAGCTGATCTTGATAACTTCTGGATTTGAGGAGGCTGAAATGTGCAAAGAAAGAGGAAAGCATAATAGTTCAATTCAATTCAATTCAGCAAATGTTGATTAAGCAATCTAAATGTGTAAGGTATTGTGCTCGTCCCTGATGGGATGCAAAGATAAATAGGACAGAGTTCCCACTTTCTAGGAACTTGCAATATAATAGGTCATAAAATCTGCTCACACAGTACTGCCTATGTCTATTAATAATAACAAAAAAAAATCAACATGGCTGTGGTCATCATATTTTTTGAACCAAAAATCAGGACACATAGTCTGACAAATATTTTCTTCTTAAAGGTGCACTTTATCATCCTTGAACTGTAGATAGTTCTGGCAAATCTGTGGCATATGACTGCCACAGATGCAACTTAATTTCAAATTATGTTATAATAAAAACATCTATATTCTACATGATAGTTTGTTACAGAAAGTCTAAAAACTGCCTAAATATTTTGCAGTAAAAAATCACATTAAATACTTTTCAATAAGTCAAAACTCTAAATATAAAGGAACTTGAATGTATAAAATGTACAATTCAACTAAAATCTTTAAGTAGGCTATAGTTAGCACCGTCTATAAAATACAAAACAGATGGGATATGAAATTAAAGTCAGTAATACAACTACAAAAACAACTTTTTTAAAAAAGCTCTGAGTTTTCATTTTCCTGGAAAACAATCAAGAACCAACATCTAGAAATAGACTTGTAATTTAATGATCTCCTTGAATAATAAAACATGAAATAATTTCCAGGTACAGTCATCTAAGACATTGGCCCCCTGAAGCACTGCCAGTGCCTTATAGCAAAGAAACGCTGTTGAATGCATTAGCACAGGAAGGAGGTTAAGAAACAGATGAGGAAAAAGGATCAGAGGAAATACTCCACCCCCTATTACCCACCATGTAACACCCACGGGTTCTGACCCATGCAATTGAAGTAGAAATCCGCCACCAATTGGAGTATATACCAACTTCTCCTGAACCTCTATAAACATTCAAAACAGAAAGCCATAACAACCCAGGCCATTCCATTTCCCACAACTTTTCATCCCTCTTTTTGCTTTAAAGTAATCATCTATTTAAGTATTTCCTCTTCATCATTAACAGCAGGAATGAAAACAAAGAGAATAATGTTGGACTTTTAAGAAACAGCTGGGCTTCATTTTAAATAATGCAGCCCTGTTTGGTTGTAGTTACATCTTTTAAAATATCCCATTTGTTTTTACTTCGGGTAGAATTTTGAGTACTAGCCCTGATTTATAAATAAAAACATTTAAAACTAAAAGAAGACCTAAAGTATAGTCGTGGTTGATCAAGGGATAAAATTAAATAAGCTGATTTTAAGAACATATGATAGCCAAAGAAAGCACTATAGGATCTTAGCAAATACAGGCCATTTAAAAATGTTTTCAAATATGATGTGTTTTTATCATTTGCTCCAACAATTAAAACTGTATTTCAATTACTATGCACCTATTATATAACTTTTATGACTCAATTAAAGCTGTCACATAATGGATATATTTTAAAATGCACAATGGTACCTAAAGCCCTACTTCAGTAATTCATCAAGGCATGGATGGTCCATGCCTTGGGTTCTTAGACTATGCCAATAAAGCACAAGTCTGGCAGTCCCTACCAATCTGGAAAAATTTCAAATGTGAGCCTGGAATGAGGTGTGTGTCTGATGACTGAGAACCAGTCTAGCTAAACTGGGAGACTCATTACCCAAATGGCCACAGGGCGATAATTCCTTTTGGCCACAGCAACTCACAAAGACTTGTCTGCTAAAGCCTAGGAGTTGTGAGCTATGTTGGCAGAGGAAAGACCAACGTTGATTAAATCATGGATCTTTGAAGTACTGAAATAACCAACTTTATTTTAAGTTTAAAAAAAAACAGACTATATGCTGTCTTTTCTTAAAAAGACAAGGAACTTTTAAGAAATTTGATTCTTTTAAAAAAATATTCGTTATTTTAGGCTACTAGGCAGCTGAGATTGTAAAATATATCTAAAAATTGGAAAAAAGTAAAAAAGACAGTTAAAATTACTTTTGAAAAAGCTGCTTACAATTACTATATGTCTTAGGGCCCACAGAAATACCACCCTTGTTGCTGGCCATTTGTACTAAGCTGGTTATATAAGTGGGTGTGCTTTGCTATAATTGTTCATTAGCTTGGGCTCAGAATCCTTCCTGGATGTCAGCCTAGTTATTTTGCTCCTTCTCTGTATTTTGATCTCTTAGGGCTTTTGAAGCCCCTCTCAGTCTTGGCATATATCCTAGTTGGGAGTCCACCAACAGGCTATATGTAAAGCAGGGAAAACAAACATACTTGAAAAATCTTAGTCCTATCAAATGCTTGGATCCTCAAAATGAAAACAATTATGCTAGAATTTGTGATGTAATACTATTGACAGGAGAGAAAAAATGCACTACAGATCTGACTGTTGTTCTCTCTCTCAGACATTAATTATAGAACCTACCAATTTCTCCTTGTTACTGTAATGGAAATGGCACAGTTTATGCCCTTAAGGAGCTTACAGTTTAGTGGGAATTGTAGAGGGGAATGAAGCATAAATACAAATAACTGATACAAGTTGGTAAATGTTTAGATTCATAGGAAAAATCAAATAGAATGGCCTAAGAGATTCAAAGAGGGAGGAATAATTGCTTGGGAGAGACATCAAAGAAGGCTAGAGATAGAGAAGGTAAAGGCAAAGGAAGGGAGTAAGCATTTATATAGTGCCTACTAGTGCCAAGTACTGTTCTAAGCACACTTTACAAATGTTATCTCATTAGGGCCTCAAAACCACTTGGTGAGATAGGTGTGGTTATTATCCCCTCTTCACAGTTGAGGAGACTAAGGCAAACAGAGGTTAAATGATTTGCCAAGAGTCACACAGCTATTAAGTGTCTAGGGCCAGATTTAAACTCAGGCCTTCCTGATTTCAGGCCCAGCATGCTGTGCACTGTACCACTTACCTACCTCAGAGAGAACTGGGCTTCATCTGCAGAGAGGCGAAAACTGAAACCATGGGAGGTGACAAAATTACCAAGGGAAAGAATGCAGGGAGAAAAGAAAAGAGGAAGGAAGAAAAGAAAGTCAAAGACAGAGCTTTTAGTAGTGTCCATACTTTGCAGGCAGGATGAAGAGGAGGACTAGCCAAGAAGACAGAGAAGAACCCATGAGAATTGGAGAAAAACCTGGAGAGCACAATATCATGGAAGCCAAGGGAAGAGAAAGTACTCATGAAAATTTGTATTGGTACATTGGTAAGCCTGAGATACAAAAATAATAAAAAAGAGTCTCCAGAGACTTGCAAAAATGAAAGCATTAAGATATGAATGAGACATGGAGAAAAAACACAGAAATGTCTCCATCTCTGTTGGCCACTGATGAAATCACAGCACCTTCAAAGGAAGCATTCAGAGAGAATATTCCCACAATACTCTATTCTGCTTCAGATCACATCCAGGTTATTGTGATCAGTGTTCTGAAAGCCACATTTTAAGATGGGTACTGATATACTGGAGTAACTCTAAAGGACAGCAACTAGGATGATGAGTAGCTTGAATATCAAGTCACGTGAAGACTAGTGAAGGAAAATGGGGATATTCAGCATGGTGAAGATAAGATGGGGCAGTTAGGCGGCACAGTGGATAGAGCACTGGGCCTTCAGTGAGGAAGTCTCATCTTCCTGAATTCAAATCTGGCCTCAGACACTTACTAGCTGTGTGACCCTGGGCAAGTCACTTCACCCTGTTTGCCTCAGTTCCCTCATCTGTAAAATGAGTTGGAAATGGCAAACTACTCTAGTATTTCTGTCCAGAAAACCCCAAATGGGGTCACAAAGAGTTGGACAATACTGAAAATGATGTAACAAACCAGTAATAAAATATTTGAAGGGTTATATGGAAAAAGACTTTTTGTATATTGTTCCAGAGGACAGACCTGGACCCAGTGGTTGCAATTTATGGGAAGGCAGATTTGGCTCAATATGGGGAAAGAGTTTTCTAATAATTAGAAGTATCTAACAAAGGAATGGGATGTTTTGCAAAGCAGTGAGTTCTCCATCACTGGTATATTTCTAACGGAGGCTGGAATATGATGATCTATCAGGGATTTTGCAGGTAGTGGTAGGCTGAATTAAATTACAACAAGACTTTCTCCATATTTATTTCATATATTTGTATAAGCTTTTTTGATCTCTAAGGTCTCAATTCCAAGTTTCTGCTATTGTATGAATGCACTTACCCATCTGCATCCTGTGTTACCATGCCAAACACTGGGGAAGAATAGTCAGAAAGAGTGGGCAACTGTGAAGCTAAAGACATGCCTGTCTAATTTACTCTTACTTATTTGGAAATCCTGGGAAGGGCCAAAAAGCCCAAGGGTACTTCCAGTATACAGAAAGTGAGGAAAGGGAGTAAAAGAGGCAGCACAGAATTAGGGGGCAGGTAGTAGGAATAATTAGGACAAGTAAGGTATGAGAAAAATATTGATTATTCTTACTGAAAAATTTTTCATCATGTTAATATCTTAATTCTGCCTGTGAAAGTTCAACCCTACTGCTCCTCATTCTGTCTTCTGGTGCCAAGTAGAACAAGCTTAATTCCTCTTCTATTTTAATATGTTTAGATATAATGTTTTCCCTTCTCCAGACTAAATATCACTAATTCCTTTCACTGATCTCCATATGGCATGGGTTCTAGTACCCTCATCATCCTGGGTGCCTTCTTTTGGACATGCTCCAGCTTGTTAATATCATTTCTAATATGTGATACTTAGAACCAAACCAAACAGGCTTTGACCTGTTTGAAGACTACAGCAGAGCTATCACCACCCTTGTTTTGGACGCTTTACTTCTGGAAATAATCAAAGAATTTGTTAGCTTTTTTGGCTGCCATATCATACTGTCATACTGACCATGCAGAGAACCAGATTTTTCCTCACAGACTATTATCTAGCCACATTTTCCCCATCTCATATTTGGGCAGT